TTGAGATGACACAGGAACAGATAAAGACATTTGGGTGATGAGCAGTTCATTGGCAGTACTCACAATATACTCACTAACGAAGAATTAGGAACTTGCTTTTTTTTAAACAACAATAACAGATACAATCATATTTGCAGTAACTGTTTAACACCAAGTATAACCAGTTGCCATCGAGTTGATTCCGACTCATGGTAACCCCATGTGTTTCAGAGTAGAATGGTGCTCCATAGTGTTTTTATGGCTGTGACCTTTTGGAAGCAGACTGCCAGGCCTTTCTTTTGAGGCGCCTCTGGTGGAGTTCAAACCACCAACCTTTCAGCTATAAGCCCAGTGCTTAACCATCTGTGCCACCCAGGGACTCGTAACATTAAGAACAGTATTTTACAATCACATGACACATGTTGTCTGCAGTGCTCCTACCACACTGAGCTTTTCACCACTGTCTAAACATACCAGGCCCTTTCATGACCCTGTGGCTTTGCACACTTTGTCCCTTTAAGACATTCTTGCCCTCTGATCTGACAAAATCCTACGACTACCCTTCAAGACCTAATTTAAAAGTCCCTTCCACTGTGGAGCCTTCCCTGACTGCTCCAGACAGATTGGGGGCCCTGTCTCTGTAATGTCTCCTATTGTGCAGAATTCTCATTTCTCTCGACATTTCTACTTCTTTCACTAGGTCTAAGCATTGAGGGTGGGACTAGATCCCATTTATTTTTATTTAGAGTATCTAGCATAGCTCTTAGGAGCCCTGGTGGTGCAACGGTTAAGTGCTCAGCTGCTAACCAAAAGGTTGGCGGTTTGAAATCTTTCTTCTCCAAGGGAGAAAAGACCTGGTGATCTGCTCCCATAAAGATTACAGCCCAGAAAATCCAAGAGGGCAGCTCTACTCTGTCATATGGGGTCGCTACGGTCGAAATCGACTCGACAGCACCTAACGACAACAACAGCACATCTCTTGGCACACAGAATAGACTCAGGGAATGTCTGATGAATGGATGTTTTCAAGATAAATACTTCGAAAATGACTGGTAAAGGTCAGGGAATTGCCTTTAGCTCTTACCAGCAATCACATTCGTTTTCCCTGACTTCAAATGAGAGACAAGATTACTTAGACTCCAAAATGGCTTTAGCAGGTGAAGCATCTAGAAGTTTATAAACACTACTGATGACATCAAAACTCCACACCCACAGGAGGGGAGCCTTCTGAGCAGTGATTCTCAACCTCTGTTCCACTCGAGCACCTGAGGGATGCCCCGCTCCCACCAGGAGCTCACTGCACCAACTCAGAAGGACTGGCAGGGCTACACAGGCGGGCAGGGCTGAGGGCCTTCTCAGAGCCAGCAACTCCACCAAAGTAGCAGAAAAGCCCAAGGCACTGGGACGTGGAAAGGGGGCCAGGTTAATGCCACCTATCCCCAGACCCCTACCTCCCAGCTATGCCTCTGAATCAGACTGCCAACTCTATATTATTCTAACAGTTTGTCTAGTCTATGAGCAGGGGCCCCTAGCTGCTAGGAAGCCTGAGGCATGTAGGGAATGACTGGCTAATTGGTCCAGCATGTCTGTTTCAGCAAGTCTTAGCCTGTGTAACTAAAACACAATTATGAAAAGAAGTTCATGATCAACCAGTTTGGGGCCAGATGCAAATAGGCAGAAGGTCAGCTGGCAGCCATGTGCATCTGAGTGTTGACACTCATGAATCATTCTCTGTCACTGCAGTTTCGAAAGTCTTGGCAATAAAGCAGCAGGTCCAGACTCCCCAAGAGCCGTAGGCTGGAAAGGAGATCTGGAGCCACTTCCCAGGCCTTGGGACCCACCACACCATGACAGTGACTATTTCTGTGACGTGGACATAACCTGCAGAGTAAAGGCAGCCACATTCTGCCTTAGTGTCTTGGTCTTTCTCATCTCTCCGATGGAATGGCTGGATTCTGAAGGAGCAAAGAGGGTGAGAGGAAAGAAAACCAGGCTGCAGACCACCAGGAAAGCAGTGATTGAAAGTGGGAGCAAGAGTCAGTCATTCATTCAACAAACATTTACTGAGCCAGGTGCAGAGGACACAATAATGAGCAAAGAGTCATGGTCCTGGCTTTACCGAGCTTATACTTTAGTTGAGGAGATTGGCATTAATGAAATAAGCACACAAATATGAGGGTACAAATAAGTACTCTAAAGGAGGAATACAGTATACTACAAAGACTGTACAAACAAGGAGCAGCGGACCTGGTCAGGAAGTCAGAAAAGCTTCCCTCAGCAAGAAACAAGCGAGTTGAGAGCTCAAGGATAACCATAAGCCAGGAGGAGAAAAGAGAGGAAAACACTCCTGGCAAAGAGAACAGTATGTGCCAAGATCCTGTGGTAGGAGGCAGAGGTTGAACTGGCTCAGAATAAGAGGCAGGGAGCAAGGCAGCACCAAGGTTTGAGGTCCCAGCACAAGGTATCTTCCTGTCTATACCGTTCAGTTTGTTCTCTAGCTGTCTGGAAGGCCCTCCTCAGCATAGAACAAGACTAAAGAACAATGACAACAGGTAGGTGTGCCCATAAGACATGACAACCATCAGCTAAAAATATCTGACCACTGTCATCTTCTTGAAATATCTGTAAGGTACCACTGCTCCCTCCCACCAACTAAACACTGAATCAGTAAAATGGCACAGTATAAAAGATCCTGAACGTTTTAAGTAGAGATGTATTTTAATCCAGGTGGAATTAAGGTGTTGATAAACATGCTGATGAGTACTATAAATCTGTTTAGATACCTAGTATTTCCCTGTGAAGGAGCCCTGGTGGCACAGTGGTTAAGCGCTCGGCTGCTAACTGAAAGGTCAGGAGTTTGAACCCACCAGCCGCTCTGTGGGAAACAAATGTGGCAGTCTGCTTCCATAAAGATCACAGCCTTAGAAACCCTGTGGGGCAGTTCTACTCTGTCCTATAGGGTTGCTATGAGATGGAATCGACTGGATAGCAGTGGGTTTGGTTTGGGGGGTATTCCACTGTAATTTTTAAATACTACTTTCTTTGGGAAAAAAGCTAAAGGAAAAAATGGTTAAGGCTATTATCTGTGCAGCACTAATATGCTTTGGCAACTGTTAGCCTGTTAGATCACTTATTCAGGCAGTTCCCTGTGGCTTCTGAGTATCTATCACCTTGCAAACAAGTCATGGAACTTTCTATTTGTAAAGCACTTTGCAATCAATCATTAATTCAGCCTCACACTCCTGCTGAGATTAGACTCACTGAACAGATAGACAGGTCAGTAAGTTGCCCAAGGACACAAAACAATTCAGCTTTTACTTATCTTTCTCATCACCCTCCACAAACAATGAAGACACACAAGGCTCCTCCAACCCCAACTCCAGCACCAAGTGGGCTACCCCCACAGACCAAGCCTCACCCCTGGGAGCAGCAGAAGACAGCTCTACAGTTAGTTCTGTTACCTAATCTAAATAAGCTCCTCTTTGCAGGGTGCCTTCAAGGGCAACAACGATATCGACTATACTATAGTAGGGACACTGGCATCCCAGACTAGAATATGAACTCTTGTAAGTGCTCAAAGAGGAAAAAGCGCACCTTTGTTGTTGTTGTTAGTCGCCTTAGGGTTGACTCCGACTCATGGCGATCTTATGTATAACAGAATGAAATGTTACCAGTCCTGTGCCATCTTCATGATCATTGGTACCTGGGAAGTCATTGTGGCTCATAGCTTAAAATGTTAGTCTGTACCTCCCAGCACGCACACACAAGACTTCCTTTCATTTCCAACAAGCAGCCAAGTTAGTGGTCTACACTGGGCTCCCACAGAGCAGTACTGCACAGTACTCATAATCTATTTGCATTCCCTTCTCCACCCCGGTGAGTGAGTCGGAATCTATGGCAAGGGGTTTTTTAAAATGAGTTCTCCACCCCCAAGCTACAACCTCCCAGCATTTGAAACAGCTAGCACAGGGCCTTGCATACAAAAGGTGCTCAGTAAATGTTTACTGAGTGCATGGCTTCCCACTAGCAAATAAGGGAAACAGAAACTTCCTGCATAGATACCTAAGAGAACAGAGAGTTCAACCTCTTTCTTTTTTAAAAGAAGGGAAGAGAATCGCCCAGTTACATATGGCCAAGTCTCAAATCCAGGTTTTCTGGCTCAGTTTAGTTCCACATTTTACTTATAAAGCACACAAACCAATACAGGAGTACAAAGAAGTATAAGAAAGAGGAGTACAACGTGCTGCCTGTCCAAAGGAGCTGCTTATCTGTGCCCGACAGGGCGGAAGGTGTTGGGGACAGTGAAACGAGCAAGAGCCGGTCTCTGCTTCAGGGAGCTCACAGCCAGGGGGAAGGACAGACAGCAAGTTACAGGACTGGTGGCACATGAATTCCTTAGTCAGTGTTCTTTCCTCGCTGTCCACTGGGGATTCCCTACCTGGGAAATAAGGACAGCAATATCGACTTCTTGCAAATAAACTCCGAGTGAAGCCAGATTCGAAAATGCGTATGGAAAATTAGCAGGTTCACATGCAAAGGCATTATGTAAGGTCTTATAATATCCTGACACCAACTTCAAGGGTTCAACAACGTGTCAGCCATCAATTCAACAAAGAAGCAAAAAAGTGAGGGATGGGCATCAATTCCAGGAAACCCTCCAGGGCTGCGAGGAACGGGAGGAAACAGCTGGGCTGCGGGGTAGGGGTGCTGGGTCAAGTGAGCGGGCCTGGCGTGAGAGCGGAGGGCAGGAGGGGAGAAGTGGAACCAAGAGGTGGAAGTTGTGAAGACGATGAGGGAAGGAGAGCTCAGCCGGGTGGGCGCCCTTCGGCACCTCAGGGCTCGGGCCAGGCGCCTCGGGCCGTGGCCCAGAGGTTCCGCTCGGCGGGGCGGGGGAGGGAGACCGACTTGCTTCTAGGACACCCGCTGCACCCACAGGCGGCCCGGGCCCGGGGCCGTCCGCCGCGGCTGCAGCATCTCGCCCGCCTCGCCTCCCCGAGCCCGAGCGGGCGGCGCCGCCTCACCTCGGGTTGAAGTCCTGGAAGAGGCCCCTCAGGTTCATGGCGGAGAACTTCACCGCGGCGCCGGCGCCTCCACCCCCGCCCCGCCGCGCAGCCTGCGCGTTACAGCGGGTTCATGTTGCCAGCAGAGCCTCGTCCCCGCAGCCGCCGCCCCAGAAACCCGAGCCGACGCCTCGCCGCGCCCCGCCGGCCAGGCTTCCGTAGGGCGGCGCGCATGCGCC